GAAATACAAATCTTATGAATTTTTCCTAAATACAGTTCATTCAGGGGATTATATCATCTTTAAAATTTAGAATATTTGTTCTTGTAGAAGGAATGGGAAAAGAGGGCAAAGGTGACTTTTACCTTTAATAGTACTGAAAGCTTTTTATTTTCTTTTTTGTTCTTATAACTGATACTGTGACACTTTCATATTTGATTATCCTTCTGAATCTTTTCCAAAACTCTTCCATTAGAGATTACTTCCCAGAAAAAGCACATAGTGTTAACTATGTTTTCATTTTGGCTACATTTTATCCAATTATTTTCTGTTTTTAATTGAAAATTAAGAAAAAGCCAGTTGGAAAAGAGTGCCTGTTTACATAAAATGAACAGAGTCCGTTCAGACTTCTGATTACAGATGTATAGCAGCCTAGGTCCCTTGATTGACCCTTCCATTGAAAATAATTAATACTGCTGGACAACATATTTATAAAGTACTTAAATGCATTGATGAGTAGGTGAATGTAATGAAAATAGGCCATAAACTGGGGGATGGAAGAAAGTCAGAGAGGGAAGTCAAGAAGGGAAGCCAGCTTTTATTTTGAAAGAACTTGCTGAATTTGGTGATCTGGAGGGTCTGTTCTTATAGTCACTAATGTCTGAGGGAGCAGGGGACAAAGCCCAGGGACTGCCCAAGGTGAGGTGTCTGTTGGGACATACCCAACCTGTAGGGCTACTACCCTTTCAGCATAAAATGAACTAAGAATGAGAGCTTTAACTTGATATAGGGTTTCTATGAAAACCTACTTGGTAAAATGTTTTAGAACATTATTTAAGATTTAGAACAAGACAAGAGTTCCTGTTCTTATTTCTTTTCAGTGTAATATTGGATGTCCAATTCAGTGTTGTAAGGCAAGAAAAAGAAATATGAGATGTAACAATTGAGAAGGAAGAAATAAAACTCTATTTAGTGATAATATGATTGTGTATGTAGAAAACTCTAAGAATCTAAAGGCAAATTATTGAAATTAATGGTAGAGTTTAACAGTGTTGCTGAGCACAGATCAATTAAAAAAAGCAATTGTATTTCTACGTCATAACCAAATAGAAAAATGTTTTTTTAAAAGAACTTCAAAAATATAAAATACATAGAATAAATCTAATAAAAGCCATACTAGCTACCTTCCCCCTTGGAAGGTTCAGACTCAGTGTGGAAATCTCTCTCCCACTCAGGGTTTGCATCCTGATCATATTGCTACTAGAGATTTTTGTCCTCAGGAAAACCCCCATTCATCCTGCTTACCACTCACAGCTTCCAACTTTCCATTCCAGCTTTTGTCACTTTTTTAGGGAAGAAATTGGGTGGTACTTGGAGATTTCCCCCGATTCTTACCAAGCTTAGTGGAATGTTCCCCTAGAGTAATTAGTCTGCCATAGTGTAAGCTGAAACTCTCTAAGTGCGTTTCTACTGCAAATAATAATAATATGAAAAATAGTAAAATATATGTCTTTTAATCTTACAAGTAAAAACTTCACACTCTTATGTGTGATAGCGGTCATTTATTCAATAGCGATATCAATTATTTCTTCCGTGTGCCAAGTTAGTATGATGATTAGTAAAATATGGTTCCTTTCTCAGGGAGCTAATTTTTTCATGAAATGTTTCCCAAGCTTGTCTAGTCATAAGAATCACCTGTGATATCTTCAAAAGAAATGCAGCTATTTAGTATCCTTGTCTGGAGATTGTGATTCAGTAAGATGGGATCTGGAGCTGATATTTTATTTTATTCTATTTTATTTTCTATTTTTTACTTATTTTTTATTTTTCAAGAATCAGGCCCTTTTTATTATATGTGCTCTGGCCAGACTCTAACAAAGGGCTGTTTGGCCATAATCCACATCAAGCTCAGCAGATGACATATAGGTGAGCCCCTATACCCCTAAGAAGGACAACAGTGCACTGAAATTAGCAAATCATTGAGTGAGTTCTTTGTATCAGCAGAGACTAATCTACTAATCTCCCTTTCAGATATTAACCAGTTACATTGTTAGTATTTGCATTACACCTCCTATATTTTAGACCCATTTATTAGTGAGGGGACCTCCTTTTTCTCTGGCTTCATGTGTCCATGTGGAGGAACTTCCTCCAGAAAACACCACATTTCTCTGTCTACCTTTCATTCATTCTCCCCGACTCATAACTGGTAAGATTAAAAGAACTGTGTATGGTTCCCTCAGCCTCCTTCTCCCTTTTAGAGCCGGCCTGCCCTCCAGGTGGAGGTGTACTCACTGGAGCTGATATTTTAAACAAATGCTGAGTATGATTCTGATGATCAGGCAAATTTGGAAGATACTGATGTAATGCACTCTCTGCAGTTTTCTTCTAACTTTCCTTCTCTATTTGGACAAGCTATTTGTATGTGAACGGTCATGTTTCCAGTGTTGTTAGGGAACCTGGCTTCTTTCCTAAAACATAAAGCCTGGCAATAAGGCAGTGAGGATGAGAACTATTCATAATTTCCTTTATGCTACTATAAAAGTCACAGAGAGGTTAAATAGCATATTCAAGGTAGAAAGTGAGGGAGTTGTGATGTGTGCTTAGGTTTTCTGACTCCATAGCCAGACCACACCACCTTCTCATTAGACACTGTGCAGCCTTTCCAGGGATACCTCTAGAGATGGAGATCTCTTAACTTCAAAAAAGAGCCCTCTTTTATTGTTGGACACCTTTAATGTCTTCTTTGTAATGGACCAAAATCCTTCCTCCTTCTAACATTGGTTTTAGGTCAGCCTTCTAGAGCAGAACTGCAACCCAGATTCATTGAGGTTCAGGTTCAGTATAACAAAACAATTGATTTCATGTTTGCAAAAATACTTGTCTGTTGGCCATAATTGGTCCAGTCTCTGGTTTCCTTTAGATTAGTATTAACTAGTTTAATTTCCTCTTCCATATAATAACCCTTCTCATGTTAGAGTGCAATATCATGTATTTAAGGTCAGTCTCCTTCCTTACTACCTTCTTCCTAGCTGAGAACAAACACTGTGTGTTCTTGGACAAGCTATTAAACCTTTTTGAGACTCAATTTTTTCATCTATAATTTATGGGTAATAATACTTATTGAATTGGTTTAAAGATTAAGTTATGTAACCTTATCATTAGTGTACAGGAATGCTAGAGATTTCTGTGCATTAATTTTGTATACTGCTACTTTACCAAATTCATTGCTAAGACAGTCTCTTCAATAAGTGGTGCTGGGAAAACTGGACAGCTACATGTAAAAGAATGAAATTAGAACACTCCCTAACACCATACACAAAAATAAACTCAAAAAGGATTAAAGACCTAAATGTAAGGCCCGACACTATAAAACTCCTAGAGGAAAACATAGGCAGAACACTCTATGACATAAATCACAGCAAGATCCTTTTTGACCCTCCTCCTAGAGAAATGGAACTAAAAACAAAAATAAACAACTGGGACCTAATGAAACTTAAAAGCTTTTGCACAGCAAAGGAAACCATAAACAAGATGAAAAGACAACCCTCAGAATGGGAGAAAATATTTGCAAATGAAGCAACTGACAAAGAATAAATCTCTAAAATTTACAAGCAGCTCATGCAGCTCAATATCAAAAAAACAAACAATGCAATCCAAAAATGGGCATAAGACCTAAATAGACATTTCTCCAAAGAAGACATACAGATTGCCAACAAACACATGAAAGGATGCTCCACATCACTACTCATTAGAGAAATGCAAATCAAAACTACAATGAGGTATCACCTCACACCAGTCAGAATGGCCATCATCAAAAAATCTCGAAACAATAAATGCTGGAGAGGGTGTGGAGAAAAGGGAACCCTCTTGCACTGTTGGTGGGAATGTGAATTGGTTCAGCCACTATGGAGAACAGTATGGAGGTTCCTTAAAAAACTAAAGATAGAGCTACCATATGACCCAGCAGTCCCACTACTGGGCATATACCCTGAGAAAACCATAATTCAAAAAGAGTCATGTACCACAATGTTCATTGCAGCTCTATTTACAATAGCCAGGACATGGAAGCAACCTAAGTGTCCATCGACAGATGAATGGATAAAGAAGATGTTTCACATATATACAATGGAATATTACTCAGCCATAAAAAGAAACGAAACTGAGTTACTTGTAGTGAGGTAGATGGACCTAGAGTCTGTCATACAGAGTGAAGTAAGTGAGAAAGAGAAAAAAAATGCCTTATGCTAACACATATATATGGAATCTAAAGAAAAAAAAAAAGGTTCTGAAGAACCTAGGGGCAGGAGAGGAATAAAGACGCAGACATAGAGGATAGACTTGAGGACACAGGGAGCGGGAAGGGTAAGCTGGGATGAAGTGAGAGAGTGGCATGGACATATACACACTACCAAATGTAAAATTGATAGCTAGTGGGAAGCAGCCGCCTAGCACAGCGAGATGAGCTCGGTGCTTTGTGACCACCTAGAAGGGTGGGATAGGGAGTGTGGGAGATGCAAGAGGGAAGAGATATGGGGATATATGTGTATGTATAGCTGATAAACTTTGTTATAAAGCAGAAACTAACACACCATTTTAAAGCAATTATACTCCAATAAAGATGTAAAAAAAAAAAGATTAAGTTATGTAGGGTTTTAGGTTTTCACTGAGAGGTAGTTTGTGTTATCTTAGTTGTACCTAAAGGTATGTATTTTAAGTATATTGCATGTATATAACTGCATCTGAATCTTTTATCATATATCATATATAACTAAATTATTTCCCCTAGCTTTCAAATCAAGTAAGAAGTAACTTACCTTACTGAAATAACATGCTTTTAGAAAAACTTTTAAATTTTGTTTCTAGTGGTTCTCATCCTTTTCTTAAATATGTTACTGTTTGATTTCTAAGATTAAAGCCATATTCTTTGAAAAGTGTTGATTAACTCTGAGAATTATATTTTCAAGCTTATAAGCATATTGACATTTCTCATACTATTATAAAAGTGATCTTATTTCTATTTTCAGTATTGCAGGGGGTCGGATAATCTCAGTGATAAAGATGCAGCTGATTAAAGGCCAGAACAGCAGGGATCCTTTTTATAAAGCAATAGAGGAAGTTGCTCAAGATTTGGATTTGAGGATTAAAAGTATTATCAATTCTCAACAAGGAGACTTAGCTTTTAGTACCACTGACATCAGTCCTGCACGGGTAATGAGGTTTTTATTTTTCATTATCCTTCTGTACAAAACATTATATCTTCTACTTGCTGTAGAAATGGTTTACAATTGCTACTTAAGTCAGAAGAATGTGTTTCCTCTGTTATAAGATGTTGAAAATATAAGTTTCTCAATAGATTATGCAGGATTATGTTCGACTTGGGTAAATCATAACCTCTATGGGCCAAATTGTCTCTGTTTGTTAAAGAAGCACATTGGATAATCTTCAGTATCCCTTGTAGCACTAGAAATTTATAGTTCTTGATGGATATTAAGGTGTTTTGTCATATTTTTCAATAATTATTTTTATAAAACAATTATTTTCCCATTTAATCAGGTATAAAATAGAGTCTGGTGTCTCTGGGGTTATGACCCCAGTACTAGGCACTCCACAGAACAACAGCAGAAATAGTTTCTACTCAGCAGTTTATTTTTCTTTTATAGAATTTTTCTATTTCCATGATCTCTTATTTACTACCTCCATTGCCAGATTACTGCAGACATTAGGAATTTTTCCTATGCTTAGTAATTGTTTAATTATATATTCCAGAAAATTTACCTCTTTCTTGTTTTTCTTACATAGATAGTCCGACATTATAAGGTATTAAAACTATAGTTTATAGGAGAAATTGACTACCATGTTTTTAGTTCTAGTACAGAATTTTGGAGTACGTGTTATAGTAATTCATTTGTTGTAGTTTAATTGTTCAGGTAACAAAATCCCCTTTTTATTAGGTATAATTGTGATAGCCCATGTATAAAGAAAGACTTTTGCTTAATTTTTATGATTCACTTATTTTTCTGCAGCCCTCGGGCACTATTTTTAGCTATTTTCTATAACAATGCGTGTTTTTAGTTTAACTTGAAGGCGGGACATGGGGGAGATTCTGAGTTATTTCCCCACATATTTCATGTGTGTTAACACTTCCTATGACAGCTTGGCTCAAATGACAACCAGGTTTTATTGTAAGTATAAATCAGGAACTGTCACAGCTCAGATAATTAAGAGCACCCAATCTCTCCCATTTCCTGTCACAAGAAATAAAGATGCAGACAACCTGGTTCTTAATTTTATGTTTTCAACCAAATTAGACATCTTTGAAAAATACGAATCAGTAATTCTCAATGAAGTTAGTATTAAACAGTATGGACTTCTCTGGTACTAATGAAAAATATATGTCAAGCACTAGATTGTGATAGGCAATTTGTTAAAATTCTGGTGTAGCTATACATTACAGTTCACTTGGTAGCCTGAATCAGCCAAGTAGAGAAAGGAGGCCAAGACCATGTTGATGAAACCTGAGGAAAGTGGTACAACTATAACAGATGTCCTCAAAAGGGCGACTCTGATATTTAAGCACAATGTCCAACAACCCTATGGGTTAGGCACTATCATCATCCCTATTTTACCAATGATTTAACTGAAGCACAGTGAGGTTAAGCAACTTTCCCAGAGGTATACAGCACATACAACTGGTTAGTTGGTATGAACCCTGCCAGAAATGCCATCAGAGTTTGTTCTTACATGGGTCTATGTGTAATATTATCTTATCATATATTTTCCCTATTCTTCTATCTAGTTACTAAGTTTTTCCAGCTCTCCCCTTTTAGTCTGCTTTTTCTTTATCTCCACAGCTACTATTTTAGTTCACTGCTACTACCTTCTTCATTTCTGAGCTGGACTATTACAGTCTCTTAATTTGTGGTCCTGTCTCCAGATTTAATAACAGTCTTACCCTGGAATATAAATGTTTTACACATTTCCATCATTGCTGTCATTTTTCTAAAATGTAAATAGTATCATTTTATTTCCTTGCTTAATAAAGGAAGAGATTTTAACCTTGTCACAGATTGACTTATAACTTATTTTTCTGATATACAATGCTTTCCCAGACTCATCTCACATGACTCCCTGTCTGTTACACTGATCTTCAGCCATTTCATGCCATGTAGTCTCTGAAAATACCATGTTCTCTCTTACCCTTTTGTGTCTCCTCTGTGAAGCCATCCTTGATCCCAGGGTAAATTGATCATGACCTTTGGGTGTGCTCCCACTGCACAATTTATACATTCTCTTCGAAGTAGCACTTAAGGGACTTCCCTGGTGGTGCAATGGTTAAGAATCCGCCTGCCAATGCAGGGGACACGAGTTCGATCCCTGGTCTGCAAAGATCCCACATGCCGTGGAGCAACTAAGCCTGTGTGCCACAACTACTGAAGCTGGCACGCCTAGAGCCGGTGCTCCACAACAAGAGAAGCCTGCGCACTCCAACGAAGAGTAGCCCCCACTCGCTGCAACTAGAGAAAGCCTGCACACAGCAACGAACACCCAATGCAGCCAAAAATAAATAAATAAATAAATGAATGAATGAATGAATACATATATTTTAAAAAAGGAAATAACACTTAGCACTCTGTAATGCCATTATTGGTTACTTATTTATTTTATAAAAGAGCCTACGGGTTCCTTGAGACACTAGTTATTACCTTTGTAGCCTTAGCTTCAAATGCAATTCTTGGGACTTAGTATGTGCTTATGGGTGATTACTGAATGAATGAAGGTCAACTGGTTTTTTTATTTTTGCATTTGAGTAGATCTTTACAGCCATCTGGGGGGTTGGTATTCAGATCACCAGAATCTCACTTCTGGTATAAGAGAGAAAAAATATCAGTATACAAAGAGGTTAAGTCACGAGGCTGAGATCACATAGATTGTAGCTAAACTTTCTGACTTAAGGACTAATGTTATTTTGACCAAAATCTAATGTCTTCCTTTGATGATACTATTTTCTATATTTTTTGTGCTTCTGGAAGTTCATAAGATTGATTATATTATGGCTTGAGGGATAAATATTCACATGCCTTAGAGCCACGTCTCGTGGCTGATTTTTTTATAGCTTAATAGAAGAGGAAGAACAATAGCACATGAAATGGAAAAGAGTGGCTGATTGACTGAGCTGGGGTGATTATTACATTTATTTGAAATTGTTTCCTTTTCTAGCCAAAATCTCATGCCATAAACCATGGCACTGCATACTGTGGCAGAGATACTGTGAAAACTTTACTAGTTCTTTTGGATGAAGAAGCAGCCAGTGCTCCTACCAAAAACAAAGCAGAGCTTTTATATGACGATGAAAACACAATTCATCATAATGGAACTTCTATTCTTACACTTTTTAGGTAAGTAATGTGGAAGTTATATGTATGTGAATATTAAGTCTATAAAGGAAATTTTTGAAAAAAACACCTCATTTGTTATAAAAGAAATACATGCTATGGTTAGGAAACTTGGGAACTACAGAAAAGTATGAAGAGAAAAAATAAAAGTTAGTTAAAGGGAGATTGAACATTTGAATGTGAGGGAGTTATATATAAAAGTAGTATTCTGTGCGAGTATGACTGGTGTTTTTTGTTCTTGTTTTTTGCTTTGGAAATATTTGCATAGATATTTGTGTCAAAAACTTTGCTAAATGCTTTCACTTATATCAGCCCTCACAGCAGTCTCTTTTAATAGTCTCCCCAGTTTATAAGTGAAGAATTAGAGACTTGAGAGAGATAGCAAGCAATTTGTCTAAGTTGGCAAGCAGCAAAGGTGTCTTTCTCCAGAACCTGAGGTCTCTGCTCCAAATATTGTGCTATTTTGCTTGAGAATAGGAGAGTTGGTATACACCAGACTTACACTGGAATTGACATTTACTTGTTCTTCATCGCATTATGAAGGAAATACTAAATTACTGTTGGTATTCTGTGCAAGACATTGATACTCACCAGTTTTAACAACAGTTCGGTCAAACACTGAGTTGGTGATATTTTTAATTAATGAACATTCATTTATAGAAACATTTAAAATTTTAGAATAATGGTTTAAAATTGTATTATTACATTGTGGAGGATTTTTACAAAATTGTCCTGTTTGATCTTTTCTATTTTCTGCTTGAGCTACTTTCTAGAAATCTGATTTTAGTCTAAAATTGTTCATATCTATCTATGATTGCTTTACCTTCTCTCTCTCTCTCCTGTGCTTCACTATCTTTTCTCTTAAAAGAGAAACTTTATAATGCTCTATCATGCAGTGTTGTCTTCTAATTCCTTTGCAATGAAAATTTATTTTATCAATGATTTACTTATACCCTGTGCTGGAATCCCAGAAAAGAGTATAAAGAAAATGAACCTTTGTTTTTTTCCTCCTGTCAACTTACTTCTGTTTAACAAAGTTTGCTTTTAGGTAGAAATATAAATGATTTAGATTTTCTCTTAGATTGAATTCTGTCATTTTCTTAGAGAAAGTTATTTTGTGTTTGTAGGATTTTCTAAATAAAATTAATCCCCACATACATTTTAAAGAGGTATTTTTCTATACTCAATTATGTGGCCAAACACGTTTATATTTACCTTAGCATTTTCAATTGTCATTGTGCAGACAAGTACCAGTCCATGGTAAAGTATATTTTTAATGGTCTGCATTGAAATGATAAAATTAAGGACAATGTATATGATTGTAAGTCAGTGTAGGGTTATAAACTAGTCTTTCTTAGAATAGACTATCCTTTATTCCTTTTATAAAAAATAAATTTATTTATTTAATTTATTTATTTTTGGCTGCATTGGGTCTTCGTTGCTGCGCACGGGCTTTCTCTAGTTGTGGCGAGCGGGGGCTACTCTTTGTTGCGGTGCATGGGCTTCTCATTGCGGTGGCTTCTCTTGTTTCAGAGCACGGGCTCTAGGCACACGGGCTTCAGTAGTTGTGGCACGCAGGCTCAGTAGTTGTGGCTCGCAGGCTCTAGAGTGCAGGCTCAGTAGTTGTGGCGCATGGGCTTAGCTGTTCCCCGGCATGTGGGATCTTCCTGGACCAGGGCTCGAACCCGTGTCCCCTGTATTGGCAGGTGGATTCTTAACCACTGCGCCACCAGGGGAGCCCCCTTTATTCTTAGGTAATGGTCTTTTGATGCAAAGGGGTTATGACTCTGGCTCTATTAAGCTAAAAAGGAATTTACTGAGGAATCCATGTTTGTCTGGCTCCAAATTGCCAGTGTCTCCTCTATCGTGTCTTCTCTGACCCTCCTATTTCTAAACTGTGCTTTTCTCTTTTGAATTTCCCTGCCATGGCATCTGTCCTTTTTTATTTTGAATTTTAGTTATGTGGATATCTTATTTCCCTTACTTAGTTCAAGATGCCTGAATTCAGAGCCAGTGAATGAAGGAACTTTCTATTCTTCACAACATCTTATACAGTGCCTTACATATAGTAGAAGCTCAAATATTTAGTGACTGAATTAATTAATTAAGCAAATTATTAGTATTTAGAACTCTCAGAATAGGAATATGGACACTTTTAAATAGTATTGTAAACAACTAGGTTCAGTTGTTCAGAATAAACTTTTATTCTCTAACTGCTTTTGGATAGCGAAGAGGTGTAAACTAGTTTAAAAGCTACTTTGGTTTATAAATTTTTGCTTTTTTTGGACTAGATCTCCCACACAAGTGAATAATTCATCGATGAAACCCCTAAGGGAACGTATCCATATGTCAGTGCAAGAGAAAACAATTAAGGTACAATTTAATATACTGTCATGAAAATAATAAAAATTGGTTTACTTGTAGAAGAATAAATATATAAAGCTGAGCTGGGTATTATAAACATACATTATACATGCAACAATAGGGATTAAATGGAAAATAAGTTATGACAGTTGACATACAGAAACTTTCCTTTTAATACAATCTTGGCTAATCTGTCTCTGGTTTATTCAATACCTTGGATCTAAAAGAAGGAAAGGAATAAGCACCTGCTATGGTAAGTGTTCAATAAATATGTGTTCAGTGAATGAGGGGGAAAATAAAGAGGACATGGTTTTCTCATTTACATTTCTAATATCTTAAACTGAATCTTGAGAGTCCATATAATTTCAGTTTTGTTTCCATCTGAAGACATAATGGCAGAATATAATCGATTTTGGATTGAGACAAGGAGAACATTTCACATTGTTCATTGACTAGAGCTATTCTTTATATTTTCACTTGGTTTGAACTGAGTATCCCAGTTCTCATTTGAAACATTTGTGCCTATAAGTAGTCAGTAACATGTTTTTAGGCACTTAAATTTTTCTTGGTCTTATTTTTCAAAAAAGAAGCTTGTTTTTAACTCATTGATTTATTCAGCATACATTTATTGGGTATCTGCTATGTGCCAGACACTGTTCTATGGTTGGGAATTCATTCATTTGTTCAACAAAATTTTCATGTAAAATTTACAATTATCCTTAAATTATCAAATAATTATTCATCTTTTGCTATAACTTTGAGAACTCTAATTTGTTCTTTATATTCCCATTTGGAAAGTTAGTCCCAATTAGCAAAGCCTTTAGTTATCTGTTTCTTCTACATACCCCAAATCCATTTAGTTTATTTAGATTAATAAGTCTTATCTTCCTATTGGTTATTAGTAGCTGTTAGTAGTTAACATCTATGGAATACATCATTGATTTTTATATAATTTTTCTGTGAAAAAACTTGTCAATTCTTTGTTATATTAACCTAAGTACTTGTAGTCAAGGTGTAAGATTTTTGAAAAAAAGATCTATCCTTCGGACTTGATTAGAAACGGAAATGTAACAGATTCTTTAATTTTTCCCTGCTATGGCTACTGACAAACTTTAAGATTTTCATTTAAAAATCATTGGGAGATGCAAGAGGAAGGGGATATGGGGATATATGTATACATATAGCTGATTCACTTTGTTATACAGCAGAAACTAACACAACATTGTAAAGCAATTATACTCCAATAAAGATGTTAAAAAAAAATCAAGTAATACCATTAAACAGTGAAGTAGATATCTGTAAACTACTTAGAAAATTGTCTGGAACCTAATAGATTAATGATAAAAGTTATCTTCCTATGCAATCTTCTATATGTAATAAATTCAGGTAAAAAGTAAAAAAATAAAAATAAAGATCATTGGGATATTTTGTTAAACTAAGTAAATCAAAATGAAAAGATGTGTCTGAATAATGAGAAGGTGTTTTTAGAAATTGGTAAGAGTCAAGTAACTACTGTAAAATTTATGAACAAATTAGTAAAGTTTTGGGAGGTAGAAGAGACAGTATCTGATCCAGTCTCATTTATAGATGAGGGGATCAAAATCCTTGAGAAAGCACCTTATCTGAGATATCATAACTACCAGGAAATATTTTATGCCATTGTGCAAAGGATAAATACTGAATAAATACTAATGGATAAATACTAATAAGACTATAATTACATTGCTTCTGTTACTTAATAGTGGAGCTGGCTTACTCCACATAGCTCTGAAACTAAATGGCAATAGAGAAAGGAAGGAATTGGTGTTTATGGTTATATTTTATAGTACAGTACTCTTTATGAAAGCAAAGTGTGAAAATAATTGGTTTAGCCAGGTATACAGCTGAACCATGGCCAGATTGAGTACTTGCTGGAATAAGAAACAATGCTGCTAATATTTACTACTAAGTAACTATGGAAAAGTAGTTTAACAGCTTGTTACCTTATTATCCTGTTACTTTTTCTCTTTTGGCATTTAATTCTCTTTTTTATCATGGAAAGAATATATGATCTACACTTGAGAAACTGTCTTGGAAAGACAAAGGTAGATACTGTTAGAGAACTTAGAATTTTGATGTTGTAGATCATACTTGATTGTGAAATATCCATGTCATTATTATTTGGGGCAAATTAACTTTTCTTGGATTTTCATTTCCTTGTTCATAAATAGAAATAGGCACTCCTGATCCCCAAATCCTATGAAACCACTTTGGAAAGTGTTTATTAACTCATTTGAAATGCTCAAGTTTTATTTTCTACTGTAGCTTATTTGGAAAATTGTCTATGATGGTCAAATAAATTCCCCTGGGAAGGAAATTAGAAGGTTCTTCCTGAACCTTCATGGGTTTGGTAGGAGCCTTTAGAGAATGCTTTCTTCCCATTCTTATCCCAGTTTCCAAGCGATTTATACAAGTACCTTCATACCTTTTTATTATAAGATCTTTCAAGGAGACATTTACCTTCTTAGGTCCCTGTAAATTAATTAGTTTTATTCCTTCCAGCTTGATTTAGCCATATTTTGCTTTTCAGACACAACTGAAAAGTTGTATATACATATCTTTTTCCTTATTCTGAGTCTAGTGTTTTCCTCCGTATTATATGTATGTCCGAATAATCATCACCGTTAACTAACTTAATAACTTAAGTCAGTGGATCAGAAAAATGCTAGATCTTTAAAAGTTGGCATAGCTGGGACAGTGAAAATTAGGACATAGGTAGTTGGAAAAAATAGACTGGCTCTAACTCTGGTACCTGTTATAAGCAGCCAGGCAGTACAATGCTCATGGTGTTGGAAAATTAGACATCCATGTTTAACCTTTAGGGTATTCCAAAACTGCGTATATCCAAATAAAATGATGTATTGAGTTCAATTAGAATTTCCTTCCCCTAATACTTAAAATGAGTACAAAATAGCAATAACTAGCAAAAACATTCACCAAGAGCAAACAACAGAAAATAATTTAATTGGATACAATAAACTTCAGAAACGATGGCCAAGGAAGGAAAGAAGATTTCAGAGGGAAAAGGCACAACATGATTTAGCAACTTAATCTAGCCCCAGTCTCCACATAGTGTGCTAGTGAGTTGACAAAGTCCTGAGAATTATCACTAAAATATTTCCAAAACTGAGAAGCCAACTGTGTGTTCCTTTTTTTTTTTCATTTTAGAGAAATAGTAGAAGTGGCAACTACATAGTAATGTGGAAAATGAACTCTGGGATTTACACATTGACACAGTGAAGGCTCTAGTGCTGCATACTGAATTGTGGAAATTATCCAAATGATCCCTTTGCATTTGAATGAAATACAGCCTCAAAATAGAGGGACTTTTTATGGTACATATAATACATAATAAATTCTTAGAAGAAAGTGAGGAGCCAACCCAGACGTTTTTTCAGATTGCCTGTCTCCTCAACTGAATGTTACTTTTGCCTCCACCGTTCTTCAGGCTACAGAAAAATGAGGGATAACAGAAAATATGCAGCCTTCAAAATGTAACTGAGGAGCAAGTAAAATGCTGTCAAATAAGGAGGAAACAGAATCAAGAAATCACTCACAGGCTTGGAGGCTTCTGTTTCTAACTAGGATATAGTAGATCATGGCAAAATACCATTTCTGCTACAATAACAAAATAAAAGGCAGATAAGTTGGGGAAAATATTTTAAAAGACATAAGAAAGCTATGTAAGCAAAACAGTTTAAATAAACTAAAAATCTGGAGAGGGTAAAGTTCTTCTGAGGTGAACAGTCTATTATCAGAGTTTTCTTCCCTGGGATTATTTTTCCAATTTTGGGTATGAGCCAAGGATTGATCTTGGCCCATGTAAAGGAACTCACTGACGGAAAGAGGAACTAACAAATATTTTGATGTCTTGAGGGGCTGGCAACAATTTGGAAACTTTGGGGCCCTGAATGCACAGTTATTTTTACCTACGGCACCTATGCTGAATTTTGGAGCTGAGTGGGAGGTTAAGGAGCCTCAATCCAGTATACTAAAATCACCTGTGGTCTTGCAGTAGCTCAGAAGACAAGGCTGCTCTTGAGGAGTGTGACCTGGCTCAAATGCATGGCTGTTGCCTTCTCAAGATGTTTGCCATGTTTGGAAATGAAGTGGGTTGGGAGACCAAAGAACACAATGTAAAAACCTTTGAAAGACAGACTGAATCCCCCAGACTTTCAGGTCAGAGGTGATAGAGATCCACAAGGCTCTCGGTTGAAAGCTTGGGAGGGACATTCCTGAAGAAGAGGGTAAGAACCAGAAGTCAAATATGAGTTATGACAACTGCAACCCAGCTTTGACTCAGGTCAGTCCCTGTCAGCATTGCGGTTATCAGCCCCTCTCTCTGTCTGCCTAACAGAGACAAGGGAAACCCTTCTTGATAGAAGATTTCATCTGGAGCCTCTGTAGTTCCTTTATATACTGGACATGAGAAGAGACAGGAAGACTTGTCCTTTAATCAAGAGAAAAAACTAACAATAGAGGCAGACTCACAAATGACCTAGCTACTGGAATCAGCTGACAAGGAATTAAATTTTTTTTTTTAACATTTAAAGGTAATTAGGGCTTCCCTGGTGGTGCAGTGGTTGGGAGTCTGCCTGCAGATGTAGGGGACGCGGGTTCATGCCCCGGTCTGGGAGGATCCCACGTGCCGCGGAGTGGCTGGGCTCGTGGGCTGTGGCCACTGGGCCTGCGCGTCCGGAGCCTGTGCTCTGCAGCGGGAGAGGCCACAACAGTGAGAGGCCTGCGTACCGCAAAAAAAAAAAAAAAGGTAATTAAAGGAAAAGGGCAAAATGGATGAAAAATTGGGAAATTCCAACAGAATTTTTTTAATTTTTTTTTTGTTTTTGACAAGCTGCACAGCTTGCGGGATCTCAGTTCCCTGACCAGGGATTGAACCTGGGCCATGGCAGTTAAAGTGCCAAATCCTAACCATCAGACCACCGGGAACTCCCAAGAATCAAAAATTTTAA